TAAGAACACTTAGCCTGGCCAGTGCTTGACAAAACTGTGGCAACTGCTGCTTGAAGTTGAATGCCTTTTTTTTTTTTTAAGTTGGAGTCTCACTCTGTCACCCCAGGTGGAGTGCAATGGCACACTCAGGCCCACCCCAGCGTCGACCTGCTGGGCTCCAGTGATCCTTCCGTCTCAGCCTTCCAAGCAGCCAGAACTACAGGAACACAGTTCCATGCCTGGTTAATTTTTTATTTTATTTTATTGTAGAGATGAGGTCTCGCCAAGTTGCCAGGGCTGGTCTGGAACCAGCGGGCTCAGGCAATCCACTTACCTCAGCCTCCCAAAGTGCTGGGATTATAGGTCAAGCCACTGAGCCCAGCCTGAAGCTGAATGTTTTTTAAACCTTCTCTTTGTTGGGGACAGGTCATTAAGGTGATTGGGTGGTAGTCTGCTCCCTGTCATCACAGAGGGGACAGGTAAGCTTAAGTATTGATATCAGATGAGGGATAGCAGATAGATGGGTGTGCTAGTCACATGATTGCTGCCATGTTGATGGGGCATAGACTTATCTAAGGGATTTTGAAAGCACTAAAGGAAATGGGCAGCTTGAGGAAGGTAAGGGAGCAGAGTGTCTGGATAAGGCTGACTTCAGACAGTGCAGATAATTGTCTTAAAAGGTGATGGAACACACCTCATCAACAAAGGTACCTGCATAATGAACATTTGGATACCTAACCCTGAATTGTACCCCATATCTTTAAAATAAAATTGTTAAAAAAAGTTTCTGGAGTCCCCAAAAGACAGCTTTACAGGATCATAAAATACTTTGATTTTCTTTCTTTATCTGCCAGAGCCAGCTTGAAGAGTAGCTTGCATTAAAAGTTAGCAATTTGGCAAGGAAAAAAAAAAAGGTCAGAGTTTAGACATCATGCTTATCGACATATAACGGAGTTTAGTTTATCACTAATGTCTCCTAAAATTTTTCTTCTTTTTTATACTCATCTCTTCCTTTAGATTTGCTTTTTTCAAACTTTATGCAGTCCTTTGAGTGTCTTTGTTTTGATGCCAGGTGAAATACCTATTTCAGACTTTCTCCTTAAAGAATATATCGTTTTGTTGTGTGAAGTAGGTTATGGCAGTCTTTAAATATAACACTTTTGGGAAGTTTTAATATCAACCTGCCTCTTTGAGTAAGGTTTTTGCTGAGTCCTGTGTTTTCCTCAGTTCTGCTATAAGTTTGATAGTTTTCTGCTTTTGAGTGGAGATTATCATATCACTGGACAATCCTACTTCACACCTCTTGGAACAATAAATGACCAACTAGTGTTAATCGCCATTCATGCTAACATGAAATAGCCTTACAATATTAGTAACTATCTTGGGAAATGTCAGTAATACATTTCTAAGTGACTAAATTAAGGCATTTTCTAATATGGCACATATTTAAAATTTTCTACTCACATGCAGCATAGCAGGAAACAAAGCTTCAAGGCAATTAAAAGAAGAATCATGAAGAACAATACAGCTTTTAATTTGGTCATATTTTCAGTCATTAAAAAGGGTTTCTTAAATAGCTACATAAGTTTACAATCAAGATAAGGATTGTTTCTGAACTATGGTGTTTTGTGGAACATTGAAGACTATGGAAAGATATGCAAAACACACACACACACACACACACACACACACACACACACATACATCTGCACACACTGTATAGTGGTTACCTCAAGGAAGTAGAATCAAGATGATAGTGGAGAGGACTTTTATTTTGCAGTATAAATGCTATTATACATTTTAAAATTTTGAGTCATATATAAAGAAAAGAAAGACAAAATTTTAGAAGGTACTTATGGTCGATGTTATATTTTTCAGTATAAAGGCAGGGATACTAATTACGGCACACTTATTCCTAATACCAGTGAGTCCACCTTCTCTATCCTAGGCTTACACATATTTTTATTTTTTATATAGGTTTCCAAAAATAAAAAATTATCTTTGTTGACAAGAAAATAAATGATAGAAAAAGTATATTTCACTTTTTATTAAAATCAAATCCATCTGAAAATTATAGATTGTCCTACTTATAATATCAAAAGGAAATTTTTATAGTAAGTTATTCAGTTCTGTATATGTATATATATTATCTATATATTCATTCTTTCACTTTAAAAATTACAAGGAAACTAAACAACAGATGATCTACTTCATAGAAATGAAAATTATTATAAAATCAATTATATAAAATTATACAAATGATTGACATGATTGTCTTTGTATAGTAAAAAATAAGATTCAATACTAAAATCTAGTGATGCCTACCATGAAAATTGAATGAATTTTTCTTCAAGGAAAAACCCATTAATATATATATTAGCCTTTGTATTTAAAGGCATTATTTTAGGACTCTTCTCAGGAAACTTAAACTGTTACAAGTATAGATTTCAAAGGCTGAATTGACCAGAACCAAACTGTCTATATTGCTAGGGCAAGCATATAAATATTTAATTTTATATACACTATTAAAATAGTCATTGTTTGAATACCTAATGCATTCCGAAGAAAACATTGAATTTCTAAAAATCTATTAGTCATAATAATTTGGCTTTTGGTAGAAATTAATTACAATTCTTATTTAATAGTTTGATAGTTTATGTTCCATGAGCAATAATATTGAATAACTTTAATTTATGATATAAAACCTAAAGCAAACTGATTTTAATTGACAAAAATTACCATAAAAGTTGCATATGAAAAAAACCCCAAAGGTTTCCATGGCAGAATATACTACATAAAGTCACATGAATTTCTACTTGCTCAGATTCTAACTTGGCATAAGTCTTTCTTAATGAACTTTTGAACAGTGAGAAAACCAAATATTGATGTTGAAAATGTTTTCATTAATTAAGCCTAAGCCAGAATTCTGCAAATAAGAATCATTTTATTTAAACAATTCCAGCTGAGAGAAAACCATTATAACTATTTCCTATTGTTAAGATTCTGACTAATAGCAATGAGGTGCTTTGTATTCTTTTTATCAGAAACTCCTCCCATTTCTTTGTCTTAAAATACAGGCCATACAGCCCAATTTCCAATAAGGTCTAGACTACTCAATTTATATTTAAACCCGGCAAAATGGATACCAAAGGGGCCCAAACTTTATCTGTACAATGACCACTTGTATATCTAATCCTGAATTATACCCCACATCTTTAAAATAAAATACATTTTTTAAAAATCCGGGCAATAATTTTTTAGGGTTGAAAGGCTTGGTCTCAGCAGAATCATAAGACCTCATCAAGAACCGAAACCATCAAAAATTGTAGTCTTATAAATAGGGCATTTTAAATTTTTTGGTAATTGGCACAATAGACATATTAATAGTGATGAGTTTCTTTAGCATTGTTCCTTAAGTTTCTTAAGTCTTATAGACTATTCAGTTATAATTATACTCTATTTTCCTTTCTTACATTAAAGTAAGTTAGATAAATTCAGTCAGTTTAAATAAATTGTTTTTAAGTGAAATTTTATATGAATACTGTTCATAACAATATTATCAAACATCTAGAACTGACGGGAATAATGTCTCTATACCAATATAGATTAGAAGATTTCACTTAATAGGATGTTCCTAATTCTTTACTCCAGTTATAAAAAATACTTTGCTTTCTATCATTCTCTATGTACAATACTTTATCAATGCCACTTTTATTGATGTTGTATACCATATGATAATAATAGAATTGGGAATTTAGTGTGGTACCCATCAAGATACTTCTAGCTTCCAATTTGATCTCTAAAAATTAATATCTTAAATTGAACCTATAATAGTAATGTAAATGAATAGACTGAAAAATCAACTTAACTGAAATAAATATTTTCTCATTTTTAATATTTGCATTTGCTTGAACTATTTTTAAAAATTTGTAAACTTAATAAGAGAAGCATGTATTATAACAACTAGTAGTTTTCAATGTTTTTACATCATTTAGCAAATGAGAATGGAAAAATAACTTTCATTGATACACTGCTCTATTCCTTTATAAAACAATATTAGGAAAATTTGGCAGAGTTTTGCTACAATTGCTGTATGTATTTTTTTCTAAAAATTTATGTGTATGTGTATGTAAACATCATGTTTAATCATATAGTCCTGGGTGGGAAAAACTTGTTTGTGTTATGATCAACTATGTGATCATAATGACAATGAATTCATTACTCCCATGTGTAAGTCCACCATGTTTAATTTCATTAAATCTTTGTTTCAGAGTTTGCATGTGGTGCTTACTTTGGTAGCCACTCTCTTGACATGATAAATAATACTGTATGATCTTTTCTACAATATGCTAAATTTTATGTCTAAAGTGATTGATGTTGGTATGGTTGTTGGCATTTTGATTCCAATACAATATTTGATTTTTTTGTCTTGATCAAAGAACTTCTATCTATATCATCCTGATACATATTCTTAAATCCAAAAAGAAATTAAAAAAAACGTTTGAATTTTATTTTAAAACGAAACTTTTTTTAAACCTTAGCTATCAATAAACTTTTTTTGCCACCTGTCAGATCTGAATCTTCAATTATCAGGTGTTGGCAATTTGGCACTTATATTGCTGATAGGGTCTAGGTTTTCCTAAAATAATAATTGTCCGTATACAATTATAAATTTATATGTAATATAAAAGCTAAAAATAAGATGTGGTCAGTACTTTGTAAAAGTGATAGTTAATATCAAAATATTGCCTGATGCTAATTTTGTCCAAATGTTTACTTGCTAGCATTATGAAAATAATAAAGTTTATTTTTCACAGAATGATGTAGATAGAAAGATCAAGTATAGATGCATTGTAAGGTTACTTGACTTCAATGTGTGTTTGTACTTTTTTTATGATCATCATACTATTAATCTTTTTTCATAATACTTTGCATGACTCTGGCTATTAAATAAGGCTCAAATGCAGTATGCGAATAAACTCTGAATGAACTATCTGGTGGGGTGGTAAATTCCTTTTTAGAGATTAAACCGATCCAGTTCTTCAGAGTGCAGCACAGTTGATAACCCTTTACCTGGAGAAGGAGAGGAGGCAGAGGCTGAACCTGTGAATTCTGATGAGCCAGAGGCCTGTTTTACAGATGGTAAGAAAAAAACAAGACGTTGCATAGCATCCATTTATTACTGTTTTGGGTTTTATTTTAATACCTCACACTTACCAGGGGTTGTTTACTAAAATTCTACCCTGATTCCACGGTGGCTCTATAATGACTAAAGTCAAGACACTAGAGTTCTCTAAGCTACATTTTCCACATTTATGATACTCTACTAATTTCCAATAATAGTTTGTTGTACTGTAAAGCACTCTACTGCTTATTATTTTAGAGGCTTCATTCATATTTCTAGCTCCATGAAATCAAGAATACAAGTTAATGAAATAGATAGTACTGTTGTCATTTTTATCAAAAATTGAAGCTACTCACTCTCAGTAAACTGTTTTAGAGTTCCCAGTTCTTTTCCCTATTTCTTTCGATTCTCAGTATCTGTTCTTACTCTGAAGCTCTGAGGTGTTCTCATCCAAACCTGTGGCTTGGCTTGAATATCCATTTCTGGGCTATTGTCTTACAGTTCTCTTTACCTCTGACCTCTACAACTCCTCCTTGGTCACCTTCACCGTTGTCTTAAAATACCCGAAGTTTGTAACTTTAAAACAAGCTTCAGTGTGGTCTTTTGCATATAATCTCTTCCTTTAGTCTTTATTTCATTTATTAATGCCATGATCTACCTTACCCCTCAAGCTAAACACTGAGATAGCCCTAAACTCTTTTTTTCCAAGTCCTAAGTTCATCAGAACCTAAAGCCCTCCAAAGGATTCTAGGTACTCTAAAATTTAAGAATCCCTGGTGTATAGGATAAAATCTGAAGTCCTTAATTTGGCATGTAAAGTTCTTTACATTTGGCTACTCCTTTTTACTTTCTGCCATACTGAATGTCATACTTCTCCTGGAATTTGCCAAATATTTTATTCACAATGGTAACTTTTATCTTGATCTAGGAAAGTATGTGATATTGTCTGAATAAGTATTATATCATTTATATAAAACCACAAACCTAGGTAAGGTTGCAGCAAAGTACATTAGTACAAAGTACAAGCTTTAGAACCTGATAAAGATGAGTTCTAATTGGTCCGCCACTGAGTCTCTATGAGCTCTTGAGCACATTTTAAAATCTTGCATTCAGATACCTCACCTGTAAAATGGGAATTACAACAATCACAACAACATCCATATCACAAGAATGTTGAGAGGATCAAATAAGATAATGCTTATAAAATTAATTAGCATAGTACCTATCTTCTTTTTTCATCTTTCCTTATCTTTCAAGGGTTTTGTTAACAATCCTATATAAAAGCTAAGCTAGCTTTGATATTAATGACTCATAATCTAGTCAAGAGTTTACTCTTAACATCAGTATTTTTTGTAGAAATTATTAACTTTCTTTCATTGTACAAGATTTTTTCAGTCTCTTATAACAGTCATGCATTAAGTAAAATGAGTGGCAAATCAGGATATCTGAAAACTACAATGAGTACATGAATTTTCTTTAAATATATACCAAATATTATTTTATGTAAGAAGTAAAGGGGTATGATACCCACTCTATATAATTTTGTGCTTGCTGTATTAGAACCATAAGCAGAGAAAATAGATTTTCCTTTAAAAAGTTTTGCTTTAAAAGTATAGACTTTTAAGGATTCCATCAACATGTATGACCTGCTTCTCAATAAACTGATTAGCAGAATGTAGACTTAAATTTGTAGTGATGTTACTAAGACTTTCTCTATTCACTTTATGAATGACCATGACTTAAAATTCTAGGATAACTAGGAAGAAGTTGAGCTTATCAAACAAATTAAGACTTCAAACCTGAATAGAACTTTCGTAACACTTAAACCCTTTACAGAAAGTATAAATAATATACTATTTCAGACTGTAGGTACTGTCATAGTAAGATAGAACTTTACAAAAATTTTTTTCAATCCTATAAAACATCAGTGAAAACACTTTTGTGATTACTTTGAGATAATCTATAACTTCGAAATTGAGGCCAGTGTTGAAGACTTACTATGGAAACACATTTTCAAGTGAACCTTGGCCTGAACCATTGAAAACTTATTGTTGGAACACGTATCTCTGAGTCACATCACTTTGATGTATTCCAGTGGAGACTTATACATTTTCTGGACCTGCCAGGCTAAGAGACTCAGCCTAACAAATTCAACAGAGCAACCAATTTGCTCAATCTTTCAACTGTTTATTCACCTAATCATTCTTTCATCCATGGAACAAATAATTATTAAACACCTGTGTGCCAGGTCCAATTTTGGACACTGGAGGGAGATAGAGCTGTGAACAAAACAATGTCCCCTAGACCATAGAAATATGTAAATATGCAGTAGGTCAGATAAGTGTAAAGTGCTATGGGAAAGAAGAAAAGGGGAATAGCAAGAGTTTGGATGGAGAACCTACTATCATATAAATATAGGGGTCAAAGGATGCCTTTCTATGCAGGTGGCATTTGTTCAGTCACCTAAAGAAAATTGAGTTGGACCATGCAAATATATGAAGGAAGAGTATTTTAGGCAGAGTAACGAAGACACACACCCTGAGGTAAGAATGTGTACAATATTTAAGGAAAATCAAGGAGCTGACATGCATGGAGCACATGGAGAAATGGGAAGAGTTGTTAAAAGTTGAGGTTAGAGATGTAGGAGAGTCCAGATCATAAGAGCTTTGAAGGATGTTATAAGGATCTATCTGATTTTAAAATCTCACAGCATGTAATCTGAAGAGTGAATGGGTGTTTAGCAATGACAGAAACTGGGAGGTTTCTTAGAGATTGCTACAAAAATTCAGATAAGAGGTGAAGGGAACTTAGACTAGTATTGTTGGGGATGGTGCAAGTATGAGATTTTGAGTGTATTTTGAAGTTAGAGCTGAAGGAATTTGCTGACAGATTGGATATGGGGTGTTCAGAAACTGGGAATACACAGTCTCCCAACATAAAGACTTTGAGAAGAGTGAGATGGTCAGTATGAAAAATCATGAACATGTTCACTTATATTGGAAATGACTCTTACAAGTTCATAATTGGTCTACAAGAACTGAGCTAAACCCAATTACAATTCACAGCAGCATCTGGTCTCCAAAGAATTTTGTTACTCGAAAGGTAGCAGAAAAATTAAAGGAAGCATGAAAGACAAGTTAAACCAGAGTAGTGTGCTTTCACTGGAGATAAATGCCAAAATGATTTTGTTGTTCATTGTCTCACATCTGTTGACCCTGTTCAACTTCATTACTATGACTCAACTAATGTGTTTTATTGATTGAACCTCGTTCCTCTTATTCACATTGTCTCATCCCTCTTATGCCATGTCTTTTCTTAGTTCTGTTCCTATTGCTTTGTAATCTAAGTCTTCAGTCTCCTTTCCCAGATCTTGCACTGTTCTTCACTATCCTTAATTCTACATCTTGTCAACCTGTATAATTATGAAAATGATGTGACTTTTTGATTCTACTTGGTTTTATGTTGCACCACTTTTAGAGTATGTAATTAGCAAATTATATAATCAGGATTAGAGTTTAAAAGGATAATCTCATTCCTATAAAAGAATATACTATCTGTTAACTTGGTAGGAAGACCCAACTCATCTCCCCCCCCCAAAATGTTTTGAGTTCATCAACTTCCTGAAAATAATAACTAATTTTAACTTTAAAAACATCATAACCAACTCCTTTGTGCCTTTTATTTTTTCTTTTGGTTCCAAAAGAAAAAATAAAAGGCACAAAGGAGTTGGTTATGATGTTATTAAAGAAATTTTAAGAAATAGTGATAATAAGTTTGTTTTTTCTGTTGTTGTTTTTTTTTGAGTTGGAGTCTCACTCTGTCGCCCAGACTGGAGCGCAGTAGCATGCTCCCGGCCACCGCAGCCTCGACCTGCCGGGCTCTGGCGATCCTTCTGCCTCAGCCTTTCAAGTAGCTGGAACTACAGGTGCGCGCTACCACGCCCGGCTAATTTTTTGATTTATTGTAAAGATGAGGTCTCACCAAGTTGCCCAGATGGGTCTCAAGCCCGCGGGTTCAGGCAATCCACTTACCTCAGCCTCCCAAAGCACAGGATTACAGGCTGAGCCACCGAGCCCAGCTAAGTTTGTTTTCTTAAACAACTTTTACATTTACTGATTGTGCTGTTATATTTTTATTAATGGGTAGTCTGCTTTTGAAGAGATCAGTGGTTTCTTTTTTTTTTGAGAGCATTGGTTTTATATGATGAAACCCAGCATAGACTTTATGTAATGCATCATGGGAGCAAATTAATGAAACCACCCAAAAGAAATAGCATTTACTCAGTGGGACCCATTAAAATGTTTGAGAGGTTCTCTGTTATGTTTACATTTCATTAATAATACATTTAAAGAGAAAGTGTGATAATGTTGCCAACCAGCTAGGTTGGTTATCTCTTGGGATGTGCCTTAGCACAAAAGCCAGATAGCGGTTAAGCACTTCTGCCTCAAAATAAGAGAGAAACTCTCTGAGGTGTGACAAACTCTGAAGGCAATATTTATGAACTTTTATCTCCAATCAAACGTTTACATATTTTTTCTAATTAGAATTTATATTATTTCTTACGTTCCTCAATCATAAGAATAATGCTTCCCTTCAATTTTAAGACTGAACAAAGATAAATCCCAGAGAGTAGAATCTTCTTAACCAAAGGAGTAATTTTCTAATTCAATAATTTATTCCAGAGGTAGATAGATTCTATTCTGCATGTAATCTTTGATTTTAAGTTTAAGATAAATTCTAGTCTCAAGCATTATTAATATTTTAAAATAATCCATCTCAAATTTTTTCCACTCTCTGATGTTTTCTTTTATCCTGAAAGAGATTAACTCTGAGCTAATTTTTGACCTTAGCCTTTTACTCTGATTTCATATCATGTTATCAAATGTTCTTTTCTACTAAATGCATCTGAGATATTAGATAATCATTTTGGTGCAATGATGATACATCCTTTCAGGTCTAATATAATGTTAACTGTAGTTAACAATGGATAAATGTAGCCATGGGTAAATTTTCCATTCACCCTGGTTTTTTTTTCTTACTCACTTAATCTTTGTGTAAATTCTAAAATTCACAGAGATATGTTCTTTCAAATTATTACTAACTGCTTAGAAGACTATAAAACTCTTTAAGGGATTGACTGTTTTTAAAATCAACTATGCACAGCATATTAAACTGTGTAAAGGAATACAGTAAGTATGGTCAGCAGAAAATATGGGTACTACAGGCACCCGTTTTAGCTTCTGGAATTTAGAATCTTCTGGAAAGAAAGGACAGGAACATATAAAATATACATGATAGTAAAAATACCAGAGACTTGGGAAGAGGAAAAAAAATAGGTTGCTACATTTCCTGTAGAGGTAGAAATTAAAGTGCTAAGGAACTAGGAAGTACTTCACATCAACTGGATCAATGCACTATTTTCACTTCAGAAACCTGAAAGAATCCAATACAAACCGGGCTCGGTGGCTCAGCCTGTAATCCCGCGCCTTGGGAGGCTGAGGTGAGTGGATTGCCTGAGCCTGCGGGTTCGAGACCCGCCTGGGCAGCGAGACCTCATCTCTACAAAAAATCAAAAAATTAGCCGGGCGTGGTAGCGCGCGCCTGTAGTTCCGGCTACTCGGAAGGCTGAGGCGGGAGGATCGCGGAGCCCAGCAGGTCGAGGCTGCGGTGGCCGGGAGCGGCCACTGCACTCCAGTCTGGGCGACAGAGTGAGACTCCAACTCAAAAAAAAAAAAAAGAATCCAATACAAGACATCTGGTAAGTGTAACTCATCAAGAGGATTCTAGTTTTGTTGTTTCAGGGAATACGGTTTATGATTATCTGAAGTTTTTACTTGAAAAGCTCAATTCTTTTTTTTCTTTTCTTTCTTTCTTTTTTATTTTTTTATTTTTTTCGAGTCAGGGTTTCACTGTGTTACCCAGGCTAGAGTGCAGTGGCATGATCACGGCTCATGACAGTCTCAACCTCTGGGGTTCAGGAGACCCTTCTGCCTCAGCCTCCAGAGTAACTGAGACTACAGGTTTGTATCAACATGCCAGACTAATTTTTTTTATTTTTTGTAGAGATGAGGTCTCACTATGTTGCCTAGGCTGGCCTCGAACTCCTGGGCTGAAGCAATCCTACTGCCTCGGTTACTCAAAGTGCTGGGATTACAGGTGTGAGCCACTGTACCCACCTCAAAACTTTTTAATGAAATATATTGTTTTGTAATAAAGTATGTTATTTTTTTAAGTGCTTAAAACGAAAACTTCTGAAATAGGTATCAAAGAAGTGTTGCCCATTCTTACTCTCCCACTTCCTACCTTCATCCAAAATGAGGCTTTTCATCAAAAATTTTATGAGAGGAATTAATTGTTGTTACTTTTTAAAACTTATTTTTCTACAAACTCATTCTGGTTGTTTAATCAACTTTAAAATATTTTAATTTAATTTTTCAATAATTATCTTTCTGGGCCTCTCATGTGTAGGACTCCATTCACTCCTCATGAGACTTCTTACTTCTTGATTTCTCTTTTACTGCAGACTCTTGGCTCTCAGTGTAAATGTCTCATCACTCTTATTGTCTCGTTCTCTTTCAAAGTTTTCTTTTACTTGCTTTAGTAGTTGCAGGTAAAGGTGTATCAACTAGTTCTCCAAGGAAAAGAAACTATGCATACATATGTAATTTTATCATAAATATTACTGGATAAAGGATGTGTTGCATGCAATTTACAGATAATAATAATGCATACAACTTTTTAAAAACTGTACAGTTCATATATCAAATTGTTTCTCCCAGAATGCTTCTGCTGAATTTTGCCAAGCTTTTGTATGTATAGACAACCTATGATTGCAACTAATGAAGAAGTATAGTTTTAACATGAATGTTAGTTGGTATTTTCATTTATGTTATTAAGTGAAATGAAGATGCTGTATGTCAGAACTTCACTCATTTCAATAATATGGGAAATTTGTTGTCAAATTAGATAATAGAGTTTGAACATTGAAAAGATTTTATTCAATTTTTGTGTGTTAGTCACAGTGTAATGGTTATAGACACAATATACTTTTACTGTTTATATGTTTTATTAACATTTTCTCCATCACTTCAAGTCCAGAAAAATCAAGCAGCTTTTACTTACAACATTTGAAGATTTGTATAGTGTAATAATTCCCTTCATGATTGATTTCAGTCTACTAATGTGATTTTGCTTAATGTGGAGTTAAGAAGAGAAGCATAGTAGCCCAGTAAAATAACAAACTTCCAGTGTCCAGATAGAATAGACATAAATTGCCTTAAAAACAGTTTCACTAGTTGCAATCATAGGTTGTCTATAGATACAAAAGTTTGGAAAATTTCAACAAAAGCATTCTGGGAGAAACAATCTGATATATGAAATGTGCAATTTTTAAAAAGTATGAATTATTATTATCTGTAAATTGCATGCAACACATACTTTATATCAGTAATATTTATGATAAAATTACATAGGTATGCATACTTTCTTTTCCTTGGAGAACTAGTTGATACACCTTTACCTGCACACCACTCAAGCAAGTAAAAGAAGAGAAAACTTTGAAAGAGAAAGAGACATTAAGAGTGAAGAGACATGTAAACTGAGAGCCAAGAGGCTGCAGAAATCAAGAAATAAGAAGTCTCATGAGGAGTGGTGAACGGAGCCCTAAACGTGAGAGGCCCAGAAAGATAATTATTGAAAAATTAATTAAAATATTTTAAAGTTGTTTTGTAAAACACGGTAAGATAATTAGGAAGTGATATGGTTTTAGTGTTTATTATTTTTTCTTGAAGTAAGTAATTGAATTCTAAGTTTAGATAATCTGATTTTAATAATTGCTACATTTAACAACAGACTAGCAAGAATTTCTGACAATTTAACAATGAGCTATCATGAATTTGTATGGACAGATTTCAGCACTCTATCAAATTATTCCCCTTAAAAGTCTTGATCTACAGTATTCTAGACTTGGCTCTTTTTTTCTCCTCACCTTAAATGTTTTTTTGTGTGACCTCAAAAACAATCCTGACCTCAGCTGATGCATATGTGCAAATGATTACTATGTATTCTTTTATAACCAGACTTTTTTCTCTAAGATTCAGATTCACACCTTGAATATCTAAGGATATCTGTACTTAAACGTTTCCTAGATATCTCAAACTCGTTACTTCCCAAACCAGCTCCTTCCCCTAAGGCCTTCATTTCACCGCTGACATTCACCCAGTCATCCTGGGCCCCTCTCTTTCTCTTATATCCCATATCCAATCAGTCACCAAACTCTGCCAATTTTATCTGACAAGTATGTCTTGAATCTGTTATTGCTCTAGCTCCTAACTAGAGTTGCCCTAATCTATCTCTCCTGACAGGGATACTGAACCTGAATCTGAGATGGTTTTGTGGCTCTGGGTCTTCCCTAACCTCCTACTCCTCTCTATTCTCCACACACTGTTGGAGGCATCTATTTAAATTGTAATTTGCCTGTATCGTTCCCTGTTTACAACCCTTCACTTACTCCTCAACCTCTTTAGGATGTAGACCAAACTCCTCAAGGTGTGCATAAATGCCTTCCATAATCTGACCAATTTCTCTAACCTCTTCTGTCTCCCTTGCCTATTGTGTGCATTTTACTTTTATCACAATTTTGAACTGGTTTTAATTCCTCTGCATGACACTTTTTGCTTCCCTTTTTGCCGGGAATTCCACCCAAACTTGTCTTTGCTGACACTGTGCTTTGATTCATCTCAGGCTCTTCCAGGAAGCCTCCTCTGAGTCTGATCTCTCTTTTCTGAGTCTGATCTCTCTTTTCTGAGTCTGATCTCTCTTTCCCAACAAGCACGTTAGATGTACTTTTTCCAAGCTACCAAACTGAACCTTATATATCAGTCATTTTAGTTGCTTTATATAGTTATAATCATTTGTTTCCTTGGCTAGCTACATAACCAAAACCAAAAATAAATTCCCTAAGGAGAGGAAATCATATACAGAACTGAGTACATAGAAGATACTTAATAAAGGTTTAGTGGAAAAATGAATGAATTCAAGAGTAAATAAACCTAAAAATTTTTGAATAGAATTTTCTTCAATTTTTTTATAACAGTGTATTTTATACCTAAAATTCAAAGTCAGATTTGGTTTTTTACTTAAAATATTTGAAACAGTTTCATCTGCATCTTTAATCAAGGTGAATTTATTTTGAACTTAATTTCAGAAATTTCCACTGATTTTCTTAATATTGTTTAGAAATGTGTATTTTGAAAAATTTTTAACAGAAGAGTTGGAAGCCTCTCAAATTATAGATCCACACCCAGGAAAATTTATCTGTCAGCAAAGAAGGCCCTGCAATTCATTCCATCTTCAGATTTGAGGTCATTCATTCATTCATTCCTACATTAAATAAAAGTGATTTAAACACTGTGGAGAAGATTTATTTTTTAAAAATCAGAAAATTACAGAAGATGAAAATGCATTCTAAGTTGAAAACAATTTATAAGTATTAAGAAAACAGCATGATGAATTAGAAGGGGAGAAAAGGCAGCATTCAAATTGAATCTATCTAAAACTGAGGGTATAGATGTTGAAGTCATTTGGTTAAGGAATTGTCACAGAGAATGTTTTACGTTAAATAATGTACTAAGAATTTAATTTATTTTGAATAACAAGATTTTGCATGCATGTCTTTCTTGCCAGGTTGTGTACGGAGGTTTTCATGCTGCCAAGTTAACATAGAGTCAGGGAAAGGAAAATTCTGGTGGAACATCAGGAAAACCTGCTATAGGATAGTTGAACACAGTTGGTTTGAAAGCTTCATTGTTCTCATGATCCTTCTCAGCAGTGGTGCTCTGGTAAGTGAATAAGTTAGTCAATAAGTTGACTAAGTCAATATCCTTAATAAGTGAGCCAAAAAACTATAAATATCATGGCAAGTCAGTTTACCTAGTATTAATCCCTATGACTAGTACCGAGAACAACATTTTATTTAAGCTCAGTAAATATTTGTTGAGCACTCCTACATGCTAGGCATTATCCTCACTAGTGTGAATGCTATTGTCCAACGAGTCACTGGGATGCCTAGATAGTAAAAAAGAGAATTTTCTTTATTGGCAAAATCAGTTTGCAAACCAGGGAGAGAGAGTCTACAGCATAAACTGAAAGTGCTCTCTCAGGAATGAAGAGAAGGCTAGACATTTTATTCAAAAAAAAAGGAATGTTATGTATTACTCATTGAGAAAATTTATTGACACTAGTAAGAGTTTGAGGAGATGCAAGTTTCAATTCGTGAACAACAGTGATGGCCAAATTAGTCTTAGAGTTACTGCAAGCTATCTCAGAAGCTATAGATGAAACTGGTTTCAGGTTACCACAAGCAGCTTCAGCAGTTGGGCTTGCAAACAGTTACATTCTTGGAGAAATGTTTCATGCCCTAGGTGCTTTTTCTTCCTGTCTTAACCGATTGTGTTTTAGTTGGGTATGACAAGAATTATTCCATTTGAATGATCAACTTCCACAACGCAAAGGTGAATGAGATCCAAGTATTATTCTCAAGAAGCTAAGAGAGCAGTGGAGAAGAAATACAAACAAGTAACTGTAGACCTGGTATGCATTTGTAAGTGTAGTGTATATGTGATAAAGCACTGTAGTAAGGAGAACAATTGTCTGCTTGCAATTTCAGAAAGGTAAACGGTTCATCACAAGTTCTAAAAAGATGAATAGAAATTTTCCATCTAGGCAAGACAGGCTGAGGGGAACAAGTGTATAATGGTGAGGATGCATAACACAACATCCTATGTTCAGGAAATTAAAAGTTGCTGAACTGTAGTGAGTGTTATGGAAGGAAACATATATAGGTGACTAGAGGTACTGTGAGAAAGATAGGTAGTGTCAGCTCATGAAGCATCTTGCATGTTATGATAAAGGAAAACACATTGTAGTTTTAAGATGAAGGTGGGACAAGTTTCTTATTCTTGCACATATACAAGCACCTACTATGAGAGTTTAAAGAGATCTGGGAGAGTTACAAGCTTCCTGAACCTTCTCTTGATCATCTTTTTGCCTTCAGACACTAACAAAGATGAGCCATTAGAAGCCATTAAGATCCAGCTAGACAGATCACTGGAAGTTGTACTGAAAACAGAATACTCAAGAACTTTATGAATTGCTTTATAGATAGTCTTCATGGATCTGTGACTTGATTGTACTGTACTTGTGGGCTAATAGGTTAACCTGTTAGGGCTCTGTGGATGCTGGCAGAGATATGAAGTACCTGGGTCAGAGATAAAGACTTAATTACTCATTCACAGAAAATAGCATGAGCTTTAACATGTTTGTGTTGGTTCCCCATTTCTACAGGTCTCATGGGGACATGATATGGGCATGAATAAATGCCGTACACACAGTGGGTTGACATCACAGCCAAGGAACCCTGAACTTAGGGAACCCATCCTTTTATAAAAAGCAGTAAGCCACCTTGCTTTGTCCCTGAGAGAAACACTATCTTATCCCAAGATTACTTGATGAAAACACAACCCTGAGAAATGGCCTGGGGAAAGAGCAGTCAGGGTGTTTCAGTGTTGGCATACTCGGCAAGAACCTGCAGGGGCCCTCAGGACCCCACAAGGATACCTCTCATAACAAGTTTCATCTCTGAGAAACAGAAAGCATAACAGGAAAAGCACTATTCTACTTCCCTGGTGTCATGCAAGTAGAAATCTTGATAGTGTCTACAGCATCTTGTACTAATAACTACGAAGGTTTATCATGACTGAGACTTTCTGAGAGGAACTTACAAAAAAATTTAAAGAAAAATTAATTGTTCAAAATGTCTAAAAAAGGAGTATGACATTTTGGGAAGGTCATTCTCAAAACTAGATTTCAAGTGAATCATATGAGAAATAAAGGGGAAGATATTTCAAGAAGCTGGTGTTTGTACTCAGGGAGTTTGCCAATTAAGCTAGACTTTAAAAATATCTGTCTACAAAGTAAATGGGAAGTAATAGCTCTCTTTTAGTATATATTTATTGTTTTTCAAAATCTTTTTTTAGATTTTCTCATTTAATTTTTAAACAAGCTTGTGAGATTATACTGTTTTCCTTATTTTACCAATGAGAAATCCGAGCACAATATTAAAAGTCGTCTAATGTCCTAAAGATAGTAAATGACACAGCTGTAACTTAACTGAAGTCAAAAGTCAAATTCAACATATGCTTTCATAGTGTTGTGGCTCTTCTCACATAGAAGTGAATGAGTGGTAACTGAAATCAGTAGAGCACACATGTCATCCTTTCCTCCTTGTTCCCACATCCGCAAAATTGGTTCTGGAAGCCAAGACCCCTGTGGGCTGAATCCTGTTTGAGGCTCTGGGACCAATCAGAGTGAGGTATACTCAGGCAGAGAAGTTGATTCTAATCATCAAGATTTGCAGCTAGCTCTGCTCTCACCCTGCACCCTAGTTCTAGGAACAGGTTTCTTTTTGCGTGTTTGTGTGACTAAGCCCCTTCCTTGCCTTGTATTTCAAGAACGGAGTCATTGCCATAGTTTCTGTTTAGATGGCTTGCCTGGTTCCTCCAGAACATGGAGAAGAGGGCAGGAAATTCCTGAGGGCTGGAAGCCTTCCTCTGCACTTCAATGCTACTGACTTTCAGACCCTCTGTCAGCTGCTGGGACCTTCCTTTTGCATCTTAGTAGGTCTTCCCTTTCTCTCTGCCTCAACTTCTCTGTTTTCTTCAATATTCATACCAACAGTTTCTGAAAAGTGCTAAGGATAATTTTTCAAGCATTGACTGTAGAAGTTAAAATAGACTGCAAATAGCACATGACTGTGGACTTGTAATACAATGTTAGCCACTAAGGATACGGGTCCTTTGATTTTCATTTCCTCCAACAAAGTAAATAGTTTTCAGCCTGGAAGAGAAAATCCTAATACTTTAGAACTATTTAGATCAGCAATCATTTTCAGTATTTCAGTGAGCCGAATTCTGAAAGTCCAGACAAATTATTTGCCAAGGAACTTGTGGCTATGACCACAATATTGTTGTCTGTCAAATTTTTTTGGAGAGTATTAAAAGGTATCATATTCATGGAGTGAATACAACAATAATTTTTAAAAGTTTAAGCTTTGAATGATAAAATGTGGATGCAGAATTCAAAGGAAAAAGTCATCCTTTATATTGGGTGACCCTAATAAGCTACTGCAGTCATTCATTTAGCAAATCTTTCTTGCCTCCTGAAAGGTTCTTGACATGGTGCTAGGCACCAGGATACATAAACCATGAGAGCTGAAAGAGTGACTCCAAATCCTACTGATGGGTTCAAAGGAAAATTTAGATGAGAAGGATTTATAAAAGACCCTCAGATCAGTCTTAAATTTTTAGGATTTATTCAATCTGAATGGGGGGAAAAAAGAGCAGTCAGATTAAAGTGGAAATCCCTATAGGTGCCAGATGTTGTGATTCTTTGGTGGATTAAAAGTAATTTCATTCATTTTCACTCTTTCTCTTGACCTCTGGTGAGAAGGCTAGAACTAAGTGTTACACAGTAGTCATAAACCAGAAAAAGTCAACTTACCCACATCAGAATTAGATTTCACTGGTTTTGGCATTAGAAGTGTACTTATCCTGGCTGTGTAATGAATCATAAGTTTTAAGTTGTGCATGACTGAAATTTTAATATTATTCTACAGGCTTTTGAAGACATATATATTGAAAGAAAAAAGACCATTAAGATTATTCTGGAATATGCTGACAAGATATTCACATATATCTTCATCCTGGAAATGCTTCTAAAATGGGTAGCATATGGTTATAAAACGTACTTCACCAATGCCTGGTGTTGGCTGGATTTCTTAATTGTCGATGTAGGTATTTTTGAATGCATTTTCAAAGAGGATCTATTCTTACTAAATGTTCTGAAAAAGCTTCACCAATGTTGTATATTATCATATTTTAATTTTGGTTAGCTCCATGTATGCTCAGGCTATATTTGTTAGAAATAGTAATACAGCCAGTGGAAATACTTCTGCAAGGAATATTGCAACAGAAATTCTTCAATAAATGTAAATTCTCTTCTGTACCATTCTAGTGGTTATAGTTGACTTTGGAATGTTCTCTGAAATTGGAGCAGAGTGATTTAAAACAACAACAACAACAACAACAACATTATTTTAGTATCATTCCTGTTAGGAACAAGAACAAAATTCAACACTAGGGGATGGAAAGAGATAAGAGCAGCGAGACAGATTAAAGAGATGAAACAGTGATATTTCACAATATAAAATTAGAATATCAAAGAGGATGAGGGGTATATCAAGTTGTCTGATGAGTGAGTGAGCTAAAGTTTATGTAAAAATGGTAGAGCTAAAGCTAACTATGTATTCGAGGGAAGAGATGGCATGAAATTTTAAAATATTTCTTAGTCACAATGATAGGTTGAACCAAAGGAGACACAACTGTGTCTTCAATGGCAATGGAATAGTGAAGTAGGCATTAATAATTTTACATAATAAAATCAAAGAACTTTTGAAGATTTGGATAATAGAAAATGCATAAGAATTTTTAATGTATGCATTATTTTTAACAAGGAAAAATGTTTTTACAGGCTCCTTGTTAAGATAATCAGGAAAGAAAACTTAAAACAGTTGGTGAAATCAAGGAATATAATGGAAATTAATGGTACAACACCCATTATTACCCATTCATTTTTATGGAATGTACTCTATTTAATGTTTATGGTATTATTTAATAATATATTGTTGTATATCATATTATTTTAAAGAGAGTTATTGAATTAATTTATAAATTCACTCTCCAAGTCTTGTTTTTTTTTAGAATAATATGTCCCTCATCTTTTAATAATTATTCTAGATTTTCAGAAATCTAGCCTTTGTGGTTAGGTAAAAACATCCTGTAATCATTCAGTGTTTTTAGAGATTTGTTTTTATATAAGTCCTGGAATAATTAGAGGTCAACATGCAAACTTTTATGTGCCAGTAAGTGCTTTAATTAACCAAGGATTTGCATCATCATATTTTTCAGAAAAGGTGAATTAATACAGCATCATTCATGGGTAAAAAAAGTATAAATAAGCAAGATCATAAATAGCAAAATCTGACTGCAAAATTTAACCCAAACTAGTCATGACTTAAAAGTAGTTTCTCAACTGCTATTAAAAGCTCAGTAAATTTTAAATTTTTTAACAGCACAATATATTAAATATTAAAAGCAAGATTATTTTTATTTTCTATATAGGTTATGTAAAAAAAGTTTTCAAAGTATAGCTAGACAATACAACTCATATGTTCTCTTGTGCTTCCTCTGTGAGAATTCTAATTTTTGAATATTAATAACTCGAGTATATTAAATGATTTCATATTGTTTATTTTTTATTAACCTTTTATATATCAAGTTATCTTAAAAAATGGTAAAATGGATGTTTTTGTAATATAACAGTTTTAAAGAACGGCTAACTAAAATGATAGAAGGAATGTAAGTTTTTCCTCTTAAGTTTTAAATAATATTGTCTTCCAAAATTTATAAAATTTTAAGATATTCAAAAACTTTAAAAATATTATTACAAGCATACTCATTTTTAGCACTCAATATAAGAAATTAAAAGGGGTTTTTTTTTTAATCCAGTCTAGTTTCAACGGGCAACACAGAAACAAAGAACAGAGTACCATATGTTCTCACTCATAAGTGGACCTTGAACAATTATAATACTATAAGAAAGGGATTGGTAGTAGTGGGAAACTGTCAGAGGAGAGGGTGTGGGATTGGCAGTTGAGGGAAACTGCTAGGGGAAGGAGGGGCATACCCAATCAACAAGGGTACCTGCATAATCAACGTTTGTATACTTAACTCTGAATTGTACTGCACATCTTTGTCATTAATAAATAAACAAATAAATAAATAAATAAATAAATAAATGTTTTAGAAAAAGAAGAAGAAAAGAAAAGAAAAAGAAAAAAGAAACAAAAAGTTTACAATTAAAGTTTAAATAAAAAGCTTAAAATAAAAACTTTACAAGTAAAATTTAATTTATTTTGCAGTCAGATTTTGCTATTTAATAACAAATCTATTTTTAAATATTATTTTATTTTGTATTTAAAATCTGAACTGGTGATTCTCAATGGACATAACATCCTGTTTATGAGTAAGTAAGATGTGGAACTCAGGGAGGTATATAACTTCAATTTGAAGTAGTATTTAATATTTTGGAAACAAACAGAGTGCAAAACATGGAGAGGAAGCCTCCACACAATATTCCTGTTGATAAAGATGCAAGTGTAGGGAGGCAACTATGGGGGAGGGGTTTTTTTTCTTCAAAAATTGAGAACATTATCTAGAGCAGTTGTTCTCAAAAAGTGATCCCTGAACCAAAAGCATTGGCACATGTAGGTGGGAACGTGGGAATTCAGAGTCTCTGTATTCCTTCAAGACCTACTGAATCAGAAACTTTGAGGTTGGGACTCATCAGACTATTGTAACAAGCTCTACAGATGATTCTGGTGCATATTCATGTTTTAGAACAACCGATATGATTTGCTGTTCAGAGAATGGATCCATTTGATATCTGCAGGCTTCTTGATTATTTGAAACTTATTTGGACTGAGCATTATTTACCAGTACAGGCACATATCTGTATATATACACATGTATGCATAAGATGTTGAGTATATTATACTATAGTCTTATCAATAATATGCATATATTATATTTAGCATCTTAAAACTCACTTAACAGTGGTTTGCAGAACAGGCCTGCTACTTTTTTTAGTTTTTAGTAGAAAAACAGGTTTATTGAGTATGCTACAAGGAATATAGTGGTATAGTTGGCACAGCAATAAGAGAACTGTCCACCCAGGTCTACCACTTTTTTAAGGGCTGTTTACATAAAAACAAATGTGTCTTAACCTACTTTGTTGCTATAACGGAATATCAGACATGGGGTAATTTATGTTAAAAAGAAATGTATTTCTTACAGTTCTGGATGCCCGGATGTCTAAGGTCAAGGGGCTACAATCTAGTAACCTTCTTGCCAGTGAGGACTCTGTAGCTTCCTGAGGTGGTGCAGGGAATCACATGGTGAAGAGGTACACTGAGAGTCAAACTTGCTTTTGTAATAGACCCACTCTTGTGATAACTAGCTGACTCCTGTGATACCATTAATCCCTTACTCTATATTTATGAATTGATTAATGCACGTATGAGGGCAAAGTCTTCATGATCCAATCACCTACTGAAGACTCCACCTCTTAGTGCTGTTACATTGGGAATTAAGTTTCAACATGGATTTCAGAGAGGACAAACATTCAAACCACAGCACAACTTTTTATTTTTGAGCCAGGATCTTGCTTTGCCATACAGGCTGGAGGACAGTAGTGAAATTATATTTCGCTGCAGGCTTCAACTCCTGGGTTCAAGCATTCCTCCCACCTAAGCCTCCCAAAGGGATGAGATTATTATATAGGAGTGAGGCACCACACCAAGGCACAAGACATTTTAAACCTTTGTTTTTCTCTCATTGCTTAAGGAATTAGAAAGAAAATGTAATGTTACATTAACCCTGCCTGCTTTATAAGTCAATTTACTTGTCTCTGATAGCAGCAGCAATGAATTTGTTGTATTCCATAAATAGTTAAATACTAGTAAGCTGACTTTCTTGTACTCCTATTTTTTCCTTGAAAACTTGATCTTGTAGTCACTACCTTACTTTGTAATGAAGAACTGCCTTTCAGCATTGTTCTTAAACATTGTCTCCTGCCACAGAGTGTGAAACAAATGAATACTTTAAATGGAACTAATTCAGGGAGTGAATGCATTTACAGATCCAGATCTAAGGTCATAGGGGAGTTCATTGTTCTGTTACTGAAATGTGTATTGATTGTATTTCTGTCCATGTTCTTTCCTCTGAGATCATTTATGAGAAGAACACAAACTTTTCTTGGTTACTGGTTATGGTAATCATGGCTGGCCTATCTAACATGATAAGATTCTTCTAGATCCATGTTGTTGTGAAGTCAGTGAGATTACTTCCTTTCATTCTCTCTTTAGTATAAATGAGATTTTTCTCCTTCTCGTTATTACCAGGTAGACATTCAATGCCAAACCTGAGAAATTTTAGGGCAGAAGCAATCTTGTTAAGACTTTACGCATCTCAAAATCATGATTCTTTGATTAAGATTTATACTAGAATTTAGATTTAGTTGAATGCATGCCACACTTTTATGGTTTAACTTCATAATCAGACACTTTTGCTCTCAGTTTTATTTCAATTGAAATGTGGATTATTGTTCTAAATAAATGTTCAGATTTAACAAGTGATTACATAACTATGGGCTACAAAAGTGTGAAAAGCATATGCATTATTTCTATTCAGATAGAATAAATAACCTACTTTCCTTCCATCATTTCTTCTTAATTTGGTCAACCTCCTTTTAAAGCTATTTCCTTACAAAACCAATTATCTCTCCCATTTTTTGAGGCAATGACTAGATAATTTTATGTATAAAAATTATATTGTTCCTTTGCAGCTGCTCTAATGAGTTTCCAAATTCACTTTTTATATTTTATTATTTTACTGACAAAACTAATAAAAATATTTTTTTATAGGTTTCTTTGGTTACTTTGGTGGCAAACACTCTTGGCTATTCAGACCTTGGCCCTATTAAATCCCTTCGGACACTTAGAGCTTTAAGACCTCTAAGAGCCTTATCTAGATTTGAAGGAATGAGGGTAAGAAAATACTACTCTTCCTATTTTTTATTTTTTAATGGGGTATAAAAATATGAAAAAATATGAATGTAGAAATTATGAACTGTTTATATTTCCACATATGTATATGCACATATACACAGTAATTCAGTGCATATTGTTTAAAAAGGCATAAATCAAACAGTAATACATACTTTATCTAACATTGTTAGGTAATAGAATGATCAAAATAAGTGACTTTTCCCCTTTTAAATGGAAATCTTCCCGACTAGGAAATTCAAGTGAAGGCGACACTAATCTTAGTCTTGACACCATCTCTCATACCTAAGTCATCAAAGACTTGCTTATATCAGGTGCTCAAATAATATTTGTTTAAAGAACTATCATCAGCTATCACATTTAATTTCATCCTTAGAATAATGTTTCAAAGTAAGTGAAATTATATCCAAATTACATTTGAGAAAACTACAGCTCTGAAAGCTTACTTAATTTGCATTAGGCTGCATGGTGCCTGAAAAGATATTCATTGACTAGAAAAGATATTCATTGACTAGAGACAAACAAGTTTAAAAAAAGGAACAACTACCACCTACCTAAGAGCTGGATTAAACCAGCAACTTTATAAAATACATGGATAATACATAAAATACAACCTTATTGTCTGTAATTCATCTATATCCTCATGCATTGCAACTTTTCTTAAATTTCTTATTCTCTAGATTATACCTGCTTTTTCATGCCTTTGTTGTTTTCTCTACCTGGAAAGCTTCTCCCTACCCTGTTTCATCCCTAACCCATCAATATAGCAGAAAAACACCTACCTATCCGTTAAGGCTCAATTTAAATTTGCCTTGTCTATTCACCAGCAGGCATAACTGGGCATTCTTTCTTTCTGTTCGGGCACCTGAAACCCTCATGATATTGTATTTTACTTATTTGCGTACCTAACTGCCTCTCTACCTTACAGTCTCTGAGCAATTTAATCTGGAGATTAGTGTGGCTTACTGGTGCTCTAAGTGTGGCATTATCGGAAAACATATTATAAAGGCAGATTCATGGGCCCCATCCCAAACCTACTGAATCAGAACTCTTGGATGGTACCGAGAAATTTGTGTTTTTATCATCCTTAATTTAACTAACACTAAAGATCTTTCAGCCTAGCAGATCTTTATAATGATCCTGGCAAACCTAATGATGACTGTAACCTCTACTACTTAATGTATCCATTGTTCCCAAGTATAAAAGAGAGATCGTGATAATACAAAAAAATTTAATAAACAAGATTCAAATAATCTCTTATGGAAGAATTTAAAAATTTCAAGTTTCACTTTATGCAAAAACGTGGTATTAGAATTCATTGACATTAACTTAATTTTTTCAACATTAGTAGAATGTTACAATCTATCATACAGCATACTGCATTTTCATGTACAAAGAACACATTTTCCCCTACAAAACCACTTCCTTTAGTGATTAAGCCAGGCCATTACTTTACCCTGTCTGTTCCTTGTTCTTTATCTATAATACGATAAATTGGATGCAGGAAAATGTTTTAATATATTATGAGGGGCAAAAAGAAGTTTTTAAAAATACTTTGGGTCATTTTTAAAAATAAATGAATCATGTATTTGAGGCCTTTCGTAGTCAGCCTGTTTGAGTCCTAAGGCTCTTGAGTTTTTTAACTGGATTCTCATCAGAGCAATAGGTACCTGTCTTTCCCAGAGACCCATCATTACTCATATTTTTTCAGAGAACATTTTAAACATCAACTATGTGTCAGCTGTTGTGCTACAAAAACCACAGAGTACAATGGTACATAGACCCCAGATCTGCAAGAGTCAGTAGGGCCAGTGGTCACAGGAAAGACAGATGGACATACAATGCTACAGAGATATGTAGGAGGGAGTGGCTACCTGGGGAAAGTTTGGGAAGGCTTCATAAGGAGGTGACATTTCAGACATTTCATGACTGAAAGAGTGACCCCCCCACATCACAGGCAGGTAGGCATTCCAGGCAACAATACCACATGGTAAGGAGGCACAGAGCAGAGCTTGCAAGGTGTGCTTGATCAATGACTGGAAAGATCAGTGTGCCTAGGTAATAAGCTTAAGTGGGAGAGTAGCAGGAAATGAGGATGAAAACGTAGGCTTGACTAAGAGCTGGCTACTTTGAACTTCTCTATTTCTGTTCTTCCAAACCTTTTGGGGAATCACATATGCTCTAAAGATCTGCTGACAGTAAGAATCATCAGCCGGGTGCAGTGGCTCAAGTCTGTAATCCCAGCACTTTAGGAGGCCGAGGTAAAGGGATTGTCTCAGCCCCCAGGTTTGAAACCAGCCTGAGCAACTTGGCAAGACCTCATCTCTACAATAAATAAAAATAAAAATAATTAACAGGGCAAGGTAGCGTGCGCCTGTAGTTCCGGTTACTTGGAAGGCTGAGGCAGAAGGATCGCTGGAGTCCAGCAGGTCAACCCTGGGGTGGCCATGAGCGTGCTCCTGCACTCCAGCCTGGGCAACAGTTAGACTCCAACTCAAAGAAAAAAAAAATAAGAATCATCTCTCCAGAAAGACAGAACAACCAAGTTTCTCCTAAAATGTCGTGCCCCAGGGAACCTCTACAAGTCCATGGACTCCAGGGTAATAGTCAAGGCTGTGGACCAGAGGTCAACAAACCCCAATCCATGGACTGGTTGCATGTTTTTGTAAAGGAAATTTTATTGAAACACACCCATGCCCATTTGTTTATGTATGGCCTATGTCTACAATGGCAGAGTTGAAAAGTTGCAGTAAAGATATAGCCCGCAAAGCCTAAAAATATTTCAGAAAATGTTTGCAAACCCCTGCTCTGGACAATCTGAAAAGTAGTCAGAGATTCTTAATGTTTCCTCTTTTGGAAGTGTCTTGAGAGCCTCATGAATATATTGCAGAAAAGAGAGGTTACAATGCTACTTCTCTTAAAAAAAATCATCTTTAACACATTTGTAGTCGAATGGAGGGCTAAAATATAAGAAGACAAGTAGATTTTGAAGGACAGTGAAGGACAGGATAATTAAGGAAATCTGGAGAGTGTTAAATGCTAAAAATTGGAGTGGTAGGTGACACTGATTATCAATAGCAGTAGGAATGTTGAAATGCAGAAATAAAGGAAGTATTAAAAACTAAATGTAATTTTTGTTTTAATTGAGGCTAGCACTGTCTATATTTACCCAAGGACTTACATTTAAAGTATTTTTTGAGCAAGAATAAGCAATTCAAAAAGATTATTCTTATTTTATAGAATGAGCCAAATCTAAGGGGTTCAAACCATTGCACGACTCTCAATCTTAATTCCATCTAATATGAACCAATAGTTTCTCTATATGAGGAAATCGTTAATGCTGGCAATTCTAGGATCATGAACATTTAAATGTACATGTTTTTTATTTTTATTATTTATATTTATAAATTTCTTTCCCAGAGTGTGAAGATTTTACAACTTTATCAATGTTTTTTTTTAAATTTATGTTTTCACTTATTTAAGCTATCATATCATCTCAGTTATTTTTGTCTTATATTTTGCTGTGTGATAATCATATAATTTGTAAGCCTGGTGATACAGGGCTCATATCTCATTTTGTCTTACTTGACATACTGTTAAGTCACACTCAATAAATATATGTCTGTTGGTTGATTTGAGATCTTACATGCTTAAGGGTGGTTTTTCTAATTTATTTAAGTCAACATTGGGATCATTAATGGTGATTGCTTACCATTTTTTACTAATCCTAATCATTCTTTTCTTTCTTCTGAATACTAGGTGGTTGTAAATGCACTCATAGGAGCAATTCCTTCCATCATGAATGTGCTACTTGTGTGTCTTATATTCTGGCTAATATTTAGTATCATGGGAGTAAATTTGTTTGCTGGCAAATTCTATGAGTGTATTAATACCACAGATGGATCACGGTTTTCTACAATTCAAGTTCAAAATCGTTCCGACTGTTTTGCCCTTATGAATGTTAGTCAAAATGTGCGATGGAAAAACCTGAAAGTGAATTTTGATAACGTTGGTCTTGGTTACCTATCTCTGCTTCAAGTTGTAAGTGACCCCTTTTTCATGAATGCTTGGTATTTTAATGGATATGGGATAAAGGATATAAGTCATTCTTTAAATAATCTATTAATTGAAACTTAAAGATAAAGTACTGTATATTAAAAACAGAGTCTTGGGCAAGCCCATGGAGTCCCCTCCCACTGTGGGAGCTTTTCTGTCCTCTCAATCCTGCTTTCAAAAAACAAAGCAAAACAAACAAACAAACAGAAACCAGAGTCTTTCCTAGAATGGGTGCCTACAGGAATTAAGAAGCATAGGTTCTGTTGCATTTGAGAATTATTAACGTATAATTGAGTTTTTGGTGTCATTTGGACCCCTACCTTGCCCCATCTGAATATTGCTTCAAAAATGAGTAGTTACTATAGGACTTCCTGCTTTATTCTATAGAAGAATGAGAGAGTCTTCCCACTGGCACATAAAATCCTTAAGAAATGAAGAAAAAATACACCTTCATTTTCAAAAAATTATCTTCCACCTTTGAAAAAATAAAAGATAATGTATAAAATTCACAGGCAGTTGTAACAATTTGGAAATAATTAGCTAGAACTAAAATTTAGAATGTGACTTGGAATGTGTCCTTTTAAACAAAATGGTATCTTTATATTAAACAGATATTTTGAAATATAGCAAAACTTACTAATTTAATATTACTGAATATGGTAACATTAACCAAACAAAGCTATATTTATGGCTAATTTAGAGTAGAAGCTTCACATTCAGATTCTACACATGTTATATTTACAGGCAACATTTAAAGGATGGATGGATATTATGTATGCAGCAGTTGATTCTGTTAATGTAAGTATTGATCATAATACTAAACCTTACCATTTTAAAAAGCTCCTTAGTTTACTTCAGTGGTTTTCAAACAATAGCTTCTTGGAGCCCTTGGGATGTACAAAAGCAATGAAGAGCTTCCACCTGATAGTAGACTAGTAGTTACAAGTGCAGAGGTTGGAAACAGCCTAATATAAATTCTGATTCTACTGCATAATTCCAACTCTGCAACCGACTTTGAGCAAATTACTTTACTCTATGAGACTTAGTTTACTCAACTATAAAAAGATAGCTATCCGATGTCTACCTCATAGTGCTGTTGTGAGGATTCAACAAGAAAATACAGTAGTAGCTAGATGCACTGACTCACACCTATAATCCCAGTTGAGGTGGGAGGGTCACTTGAGCCCAGGAATTTCAAGGCTGCATTGAGCTAGGCTTGTGCCACTGCACTCTAACTTGGACAACAGAGACAGACTCCATCAAAGAGAGAGAGAAGAGAAGAGAAGAGAAGAGAAGAGAAGAGAAGAGAAGAGAAGAGAAGGGGAGGGAGGGAGGGGAGAAAGAAAGAGAGAGGGAAGGGAGAGAGGGAGAAAGAAAGGAAGAGAGGAAGGGAGGGAGGGAGGGAGAAAAGAAAAAAAGTTTAAAACTTAAAAAAAAAAGGAAGATGCAAATAGAGCCTTTAGCACAAGCTGGCAAAACTAAAGGGTCAGTAAATTTTTGTTTATTAAAATAAAAATGAAATGCTTTTTATTTATAGTTTTTACTGTTTTTATATTTTAAAACACCTTAGAAGAACTCCTATGGAATAAGTTCCATGCGAAGAAAATTTGAAGATTGCTAGCTAGTTTGTATTGTCACAAGATCTATTAAAGACATATTTGGAATCAAATGAAAATAAATAACAAAATGTTTATAAATATGATGTCACCTTTACAGTATTTTAAAATAAAAAACACACTTTAGGTCACTTAGTTGTGAAATTGTCCTACAAAACTGAAAACAAATACTGCATAGGTTAGGCCCTTTGTAGTCATTTGAAGATTATATTTATGTACATAGTGATTATGTAAAAACTGTTTAGTGCTGAATTTTTTTTTGTATTTCTCCTTTTTATTTTAAAGATGTGGAGTACAATTCAGGATTAGGTATACAAATGTTCATTATTCATGTACCCTTGTTGATGAGGTGTGCCTCCCCCCTTAATGTTGAATACATTTTTTAAAATGATTAAGTTAAGCCTCAACAATGCTATGGTTCCTGAAATACCAAGTTTACCTAGGATAGCACTATTTAGATTGCCTTGTCAAACCATGTGGTAAACAAAATGATAAATGCTATTGTCAACATAATGCTAACTTTTGTTAACAAATAACTTTTGCTATTTTATAGGTAAACAAGCAGCCGAAATATGAATACAGCCTCTACATGTATATTTATTTTGTCATCTTTATCATCTTTGGGTCATTCTTCACTTTGAACTTGTTCATTGGTGTCATCATAGACAATTTCAACCAACAGAAAAAGAAGATAAGTATTCCTAGCATTTTTTCATGATAATAAAAAGATTGAACAATTATTTTTTTAAAAAGTGAAACTTAATTTGATATTAATTAGCAGTTTGTTTAATTAGAACTCCATTGATTTTTCAAATAATTGACCAATATACAATTACACATATATTTACCCTCATTCATGTCTACACAAAAAATAACTTCCTAAATCATAACTCTTTTTAAGCAATACATCAACTATTCTGTTTCTTTCCAATGCTCCCTATAGAGAATTTAATAATTTTTAAAAAGTTAATGCACTAATAATTTATTCAAAACACATTTTGTAAGAAGTTATTTTGTTCTGAGCCACAGGTGTGCCTTGGTTTATGGCAACATAATTTCAATCTCTCTCCTTGTAGTCACACATCATCCTCTCTTTGTGTGTTCTCTCCTCTGCTAATAAAGACACCAGTCACAGTAGATAAGGGTCCATCCTAGTCCAGTATGACTTCACCTTAACTTAATTATATCTGCAATAACACTGTTTCCAAATTAGGTCTCATTCTGAGAAACTAGATGTTAGGATTTCAACATGTTTTGGGGATGCACAAAATTCAATACATAATATCTATCATAAAAGATATTATTATATACTCTACTTATAAATGAGGAATGACACAGAGAGGTTAAGGAATTTACCCAAGGTCATACATCTAGTGAGTGATAGAGTCTAGGGTTAGGGTTAGGGTTAGAGTTAGGGTCAGTAATATACCAAGTATATCTTGTGTAGTTAGTCTATTATTTTAGACCTCCTACTATGCTGCATCCCCAAATACTATAACATGAGATAGTGATAAATACAAAATTAAGAACAACAATCAAAAAATATATATGGGCAGGAAAAATAGATGTGGCTATAGAATGATTTGTAAACCGTGTGAAAATTGAGCAGGTTTTGGAAGAAGAGTAAGAAGATGTAGCAAGTAAAAGGCAAAAGGATGGATCACCCACACAGAGGGGGACGTAAATGTTTGAGCACATGCCATGTATTGCTAAAAGAAGCTGCAATTCAAGAAGATGAGAAATCAATTCTTTAAATCTTGAAGTTTAAGATTTAAAGAAATGTTAAAGGATGAGGTTTAAACCTGATTGTGAAAAGATATGAAAAGTCATATTAGATATTTTTCAGTAGGAGCTAATGTGTCATTGAGGTATATTGAGCAAGGAAAACATATGAGCAGAACATTGATGTTTATTAAGACTGTATGATATGTGTGATCCTGGGTAAAGTACTTCACACGTGTAATATTAGTCAAGTCTTACCATAAGTCTAGAAACCATAGTATCCCCATTTAACCTCTCAGAGAAATTATGGTATTTGCATAAGGTCCAACAGCTAGAAAGTAGTTTCAGAACTTTCTACTAACTGCTTTTTCTAAAGACCATGACTAACTCCAGAATTACTTTTCCAAAGACTATGAAACTGGGTTTTAATAAAAGTTAATCTGTAGTTGATGCACGGAATGAGAGACCAAAAACTATTTCAGACCTTGTCTTACCTGCCAATTAAGCCACACTTAGCAGTCTCTAAATTAGTCCTATGTGGCAAGGGAGGATAGGAACTTTGTTCCATTTAGACTTTTTGGAGGTAGAATCTATAGTATTTCTTGTGATTTGCAAGATAATATAGAGTTAACTCTGGGGTTTCTTGTCAATTAACTGAGATACTTAGTGTCACCACCTACAAGAGACCTTTGGAGGATAAGAGATAGAATTACAAGAAAGAATAATGATTTCAGGTACTGGCTTAGCATCTAAGAAGACAAATGTATATGCACTGAAATGTCATTAGTGTGCATAATAGACATCACAAGCAGAAGAAAATGTAGTAAATGTTATGTTATTTATGCTTACATTTTCAATACAGATTTTATTTTTCAAAGACTTTTAAAAAAAACCCGTTTTATTCTCATCTTTCATATCTAAGGGTCAAACTTAGCATGCAAGTATATACATATATACATGTTTACAAACTTAGCATGCATATATACACACACACACACATACACACACACATATATACATACATGCTAAATTTGTGTATATATGTATATACGTGCATGCTAAGTTTGACCCTTAGATGTGTATATGAATTTTTTGTTCCCCTCTCATCATATAAGGGGTTACCCCAAAAAAGGAATTATATTTTGGAGGGTGGGCCCCATGTAGTACAAGCGTCCCACTCTAGGTAAGTGTTCTAGGAGCCCATCGGCTTCAGTGTACCAGCTAGTGTTGCTGGGAGAGACTGCATTCAACTTCAGTGAATTTTTTTTTTTTTTTTTGGAAGTTCTTTGAATGTTTGTCCATTTCCCTACACCACACTGGGTGTTTAACAGTTTTTGACCAAAACAGCATGACCTCGATGTCCCACCCTCCCTATTCACTGATCTTGCCCCAAGTGACTTTTTTATGGTTTCCTCAATGAAAAAAAGTCCTCCATGGGAAACGTTTTGCCAATGTGGAAGAGGTGAAACAAAAAATGGCAGAAGCACTAGAAGACATCAAAACTGAGAAATTCAAAACAGTTTTTTGGGCAGTGGACAAGGCATCTCAATAGGTATCCCCAAATATGCTGAATCCCCAAATACTATAATGTATTTGCGTAGGGTACTTTAAAGGTGACTAAAGTTTAGACATGTAAGAATAAATACACAATTTTTTATAAATAAATTCCAGGGGTTTGGGGGGACCATATATATGTGTGTATATGTAATATATAAGCACACACAAAAGATTCCTCAGTCTTCCTTGCAAAGGATAAATTAAATACATATCTAGAAAAAGCATTATGACCATGAACAGAACAGCCACAGCCATACTGACTTAAATCTTTTTTACTCATATATGTTATTCTTAAAACATTGCAGGAAATAGGATAGATTGTTATGATGATCGTTACTGTCAGAAGTTATGACTTAGAAGCACTAACAACTACTGCTGTCCCCTATAATCCTTCCAGTATTTTATCTTACAATCTAAGCATAGTTTTTAATTTCTGGTCTTTTCTGAAATACAGGAATTTTTTTTTTCCATTCTTCTATGAAAAGACAGGGCCAACACTTCAATTAATTAACACTTGCTCTGTAGGTGTAGGTTATATATGTTTTGTATATATGAATTCATCTATTCCATAGAACAAACAAATAAAAGCAATATACTTTTTCTTATTTCTTATTTTTATTATTGTGGTAAAGACACTTAATATGAGGTCGACCCACTTAATAAATGTTTAAATATATCGCACAGTATTGTTAACTACAGGCAAAGTATAATACAGACAATCTCTAGAACTTACTCATCTTGCATAGCTGAAACTTTGTACCTGTTGATGTTCAATTCTTTACTCTCTTCCTCTCATTCCCTGGCAACCTCCATTCTAGTCTCTGTTCTATGAGTTTGACTATTTTAGATATTTCATATAAGTGAAATTATGCAGTATTTGTCCTTCTGTGATTTCATTTAACATCATGTCCTCCAGTTTCATCCAAGTTGTGGCATATGACAGAATTTCTTTCTTTTTAAGGCTGAATGGTATATTGTTGTGTATGTGTGAATATACCACATTTTCTTTATTCACTCATTCATTAGTGGACATTGAGGTGGTTTTCATATTTTCACCATAGTAAATAGTGCTGAAATGAACATGGGAGTGTAGATGCCTCTTCAAGATCTTTGATTCCGTTCTGTTGAATATACTCAGATGTGGGACTGCTGGATCATATAGTAGTTTTGTTTTTAATTTCTTAAGGAACTTCCATGATTTTCCATAGCAGCTACACCATTTAACATTACCATGAACAATGTATTGGGATTCTAATTTTTCCATATTTTTTCCAATACTTGTAATCATTTTTAAGAGTATATTACTAAGTATCTTATTCTTTTTGATAATATTTGATAACATTTTAAATAAGTTGTTTTCTCCTTCACAGGTAGTTCATTGTTGGTGTATGAAAACACAAGTGATTTTTGTATATTGATGTTATATCTTACAACTTTACTAATTTTTTTTATTTGTTCTAACAGATATTTCTGGTGTGTGGAGTCATTGTGGTATTCTGTATAAGATCATGAGACAATACAGTTTCTTTCTTTAAGATTTGGATGTCTTTATTTCTTTTTCTTGAATAATTGATCTAGCTAGGACTTCTAGTACTATGTTGAATACAAGTGGCAAGAGTAGGCATCCTTGCCTTGTTCCTGATATTAGAGAAAAAGCTTCCAGTGTTTTACTGTTTTGCAATTAATTATGATACTAGCTGTGTACTTTTCCTACATAGCCTTTATTATTTTTAAAAACTATTCAGCCATTCTTTTTCTTTGATTGGGAAGCTTAATTTATTTGCATTTAAAGTAATTGTCAATAGGTAAGCACTTATATATTGCCATTTTGTTAATTTTGGTCTGTTTGTTTTGTAATTCTTTTGCCTGTCTTATTCTCTTTACTGTTTTCTTCTGTGGTTTGTTGATGTTTGTGACAATGTGCTATGATTCCTTTCTCTTTTTCATTGTATATTCTATGTGTATTTTTTTATGGATATCATGAGGCAATCACAAATATCTTATTGTTGTTACAGTCTAAGCTGATAACAACTTAACTTCAACCACATACGAAAAAATCTACACTTTGAATACCTCCCTCACACTTTTTGTTATTAATTACACAATTTACATCTTTTTATATTGTATATCTACTAACACATTTTTGTAGTTATAGCTATTTAAAAACCTTTGTCATTTAACTTTTATAAATGAAATAAAAACAATGTATATACCATTATTAGAGTATTATAGTACTCCATATTTGTCTATATATTTACATTTACTCATGAGAGTCATACTTTCATATGCTCTTATGCTTCTACTTAGCATTCTTTTGTTTCAATTTGAAGAACTCCCTTTAGTATGTCTTGTAAGAATGGTTGAATGGTAACGAATTCTCTCAGCATTTGTCTGGGAAAATCTTTATTTTTC